CTGCAACTCGAAAAGAAGTGATAATTGAGTCACGAAATAGAGGTACAGTTTGTAAGGAAGTATGGAGGGAACTCAGTTGGTTTTCATAAGAGGAACGAAGCCCTAGAGCTTCTTCGTCAACCCATTCTAAACCTTCAACAGTAGAAGGTAGTGCGAAGCGAGAAAGAGGAAGCGAACGGTAGGGACGATTCCTCGGCATGGCCTGGACGAAAAGGTACCAATAAAATCTATTTTAGAAGATATAGTGCAAGATAAAATGTATATAACGCAAAATGTGTTGGTTACACTTAGATTCCTAACCCGTCCAGAACATGATAGGGTGGTTAAAGAAAACCAAAGAAGAGGAAGAGATAAAGATCAGGAAAGTATGGAGTAAAGGAAAGAGATAAGGGATAAGATGATAAGTTTTGGGCAAGGTTTGTTAAGGATACTGACGTAAGGAAAAAGTAAAGGGCAGAATAAGTGAAACCTTAAGAGTTAAACTCGGAGTAAAACCCATTTAACTATGACTTTGGGGGCTTAATGTTCCGGGTTCATACAGTGAGCCGTACTTGCTCGTAAGAGTAAAGGACACGGAACCCGGATATATTTTACCCGGATAGGCGGTTGGTCATGTCAGTGAGTATTACACGTAGTGGAGTTAGCAGTTGGTTGAGTCAGCCAATATTACACGTAATGGAGTTATAAGTGGGCCTACCATGATGCCATGATGGTATCCACCACTTCCATAATAAAGGTAACTGTTCATAAGCTAGCCCCATATATACACCAAGGATAGAGATAACAAGGGAGAGATAACCAAAATAGAGATCCAGACTAATGTTCGTCCAGAACAATAATTATTTTAATTATCGTTAAAATATCTTAACGATTACAAAATTAAATAAAAATAACTGTTGCACATTACCAATTAAATGATAACCAATAATAAATGTTGAACTTACAACTAAAATCACCACCAATTAAGTTACATTTTTATAGTCAAATAATGACACACTAGTAATAATCAATGAGTACCAATAAATATACCAATGCATATAGCACCACTTAATGCTAAACTCATTAATATATCTAACATAATATAATACTACACATAAGAGTATACATTATTATTATTATTATTATTATTATTATTATTTTCTTGGGTTGTTACATTAACAATATTATTATTACCTTAAATCTTGTAATAAAATTCTTTCAAACTTTTTTATATTATGTTCATATTTTATTGAATTTATTTTTATTTATAATATAAATTTTTTATTTTCGCCCCCACCAAAAAAATATATTTCTGGATCACTGGTGGGAACTATAATAATCTAAACATACTAAATTTTCCCACAAAATAAATATGATAAGAACAGAGAAATAAATAATCCATAATTGAATCATGACATTAATAAAATGAAAAAAAATGATAAATTTTGAATTGAATATTTAAGTTCTAGTAAAAAACATAACAAATAAATATTAACCCGTCAAGAAAATGATAAAATAAATATCAAAGACTAATTTCCAAAATTTAAAAGTTTGGCCTGTTATCTCAAATTACAATAGAACCTCAAACCCACCTATTTTTTTTTTTTTTTTTTGGGTAGGAAAAGTCACCTAATTTTTATAATAATTGTTGATTGGTTAATTTTAATTAAAAAAGAACAAAATGTTCAAAACATTTTCCTTCGCAAAAGAAAAATTAATAACCTCATATCTCAAAGATTTATTTTTAATCTTTTTTCAGCCTCATGTGGTTTTATCAAATCTTCTTGTGCTTTTGGCATTTTTTTTCCCCTTCTACTTGCTTGTACATATTCCCATTTTTCTTTACCCTAACGTCTTCTTTTTCTTTATATACATATTATTTGCAAAATGGGCTCGACACTATGCTTTTTGTTGTATATATATAAACGGTTTAATGTTTTTTTTTATGTAATTTTTTTTTTCCTGTCACACTCAAATAAAAGTGAGTGGATTCTATTAATCTTCTTTCTCTTTTCTTTACAATAACACTAATTTACTTTTATGTGAGTATGACGGAAAAAAATTTCTATAGCAAAAGTTGAAACATTTTTCTCATATATAAAACTTGAGTTTTATTATTCTTCTTTTATATAAGATAGTTATTTTATGTTGTAGAAAGAAAATGAGTGGGTCCCATCATTACAAGAAAAAAAAAAGGAAAATGTGAAGTGCGAAAATCGAAGTGAGAGAATAGGAGAGAAATTATCTAATACAAAAGAAGAGTAATATTTCCCATAAAACTTACCTACAACTTCTTCTTCTTTTTGGATATTAGGGAAATACAAACAAACAGACAACAACTAACTAAGGATCAGTGGGAATACCAGCCATTCCCATCAAATCCTACAACTTCTCTTTGTTTCCCAACAAAAATCAAGTCGTCTAAAGGTGATGATTTCCAGGTCAAGCCCGTAACAATTAACAAAAAAAAGATTATAACACAAATATAACACGAATTTAAAAATAAGTTAAAACTTTCGACACAAAGATAACTTATTTATTTTACGAGTTGATACGATATGATATAAATAATCTATCAACTTCAAAATATATTGCTTATTATGCAGGTTGACACGATACGACAAGACACAAATAACATATTTGTTGAATAACCCTTTCACCAATGTTAAGTTGACATGACATAACATGAAATGAATAATCTAGAATAAGATTGATACATGTCAATGTTGTATTTGTAAGTTGATATACAACAAAATACAAATTTTTTTGTGTCAGTTTTTGTCAACACGAATACAACATAAATTTAAAAATCAAATCATCTCAAACATGAATATCACGTGTTATGTTCAATCTGTGGTAGTAAGTCGTGTTAAAAATTTTCACCTCTATATCGAGGTGCTGATGGATTTGGTTATGTTGGGATTAACATAGTCATATCTTGACCCGACATTTTGATCCATTGATTTTTTAAAAATTTGAACGTATTGCGATTATGATATGATTAATGACCAATTCAAATTTAGGTTTACATGATATTCAAACAAAAATACAAATTTGGAAATTATGCATAACTATGTTATAAAGTTCTATAAAAAAGTAAAATTATTTAATGTCTTACAATATATATTTTGAAACAAATTATACCAGTTAATATAAATATAATATCATGTTATACAAAAATAACTCAAGTTAAGAAGTTTAATATTTTATCACTAACTGTCAAAAAATATAAAATACAGCGTGACACCGAGTCGATCGAGTTGGGTCTAGTATTAAGTCGAAAATATTATAGATTTAATTTCTAAAACCTGAATCTATTTCAATTAAACTTAGGTCGGGATGGGTGTTGAACATCGTTACCATGCAGGAACTCTCCAAATCAAGGTGCTGTTTGAATTGTGTTTTGAAAAATAGTTTTTTGATTTTTAGAATAAAAAAATAAAAAAACTCATTTGATAAGGTCTGTTTTGTAAAAAAAAATTTAAAAATTGTAACTATTTTTTTTTTTGTAGAATCAAATTTAGAAAATATATTTGAGCAAATTTTATTTTATGTTTTGATTTTTAACTTTCAAAACAAAAAAATAGAAAACATTTATTTTAGTAGAACGTTATACTTACAACTTATTTTTGTTTACAACCTTTTACAACAATATCTTAACTGTTGATTTTCGTCAATCAACGGTTGTAAAAAATTGTAAATAAAAATAGGTTGTAAATATAACATTTTTCTTTATTTTATTAACTATTATACAAAATAATTTTAAGAATAAAAAAATCGGAATACAATCAAATGCACCCTAAGATTCTAAATTTATAATCTACCTCTAATTCATATTATAATTAATCAAGATATAATGATTTAAATGAAATCAAGACATATAATGAGGGCGTTGTAAATATTAATTATAAAATGCCATGCATCATATCGAATATCAATATTCATTCTGACCTTTCATACAAAGAATGCTAGAACAATATCAAAATTCGATGAGGTTAATATGAAAATTGATAATTTCAATGGTTTTCTTTTTCTTCTCACGATACTCTTATGAATATTTCTTCCGAGTTTTTTTTCTTCTTTAATTTTTTTTTTTTCACATTATGTAGATACTTTAGGTAGAAGTATTATTTAACATGTTATTTTTTTTTCTTGTTAAATTATCCTCGTGATAGTTTTTTTTATCACAATACAATAAATATAAAAAGAATTTTATTCCAAAGAATATTCCACTATAACAAAGATCCAAAAAGTTGTTGAAAAGGTGGAGAAGAAAAGTTAAATTATAAGTGAGAAATGGAATTCACTAATAATCAAAATCAAATAATTCATAGGCCTAAATAGACTATAAAATTATGGTTAGTTTTTTTCGCCGTTAATGTAAATACATTATTTATATTAAATCTAAAATAACATTGTTTTAAAGTAAAAATTAAGGTATTTTTATAATTATAATTTATATCAAATTGTAGTAATTTTGTTCATTATAATTTTTTAATTTTTCAATCCAAAATGATATCATTTTAAAAATGAATATATATAACTTATTTACATTTACTATATAGAATCATTAAAACGAAAAAATTATTAACTGGAAAATATAGTATATTTGTTGTCCAGCTTTTATCAACCAAATAATTACACTAGATCTAACATCAACATTAATATCAACGTAAACAACACCTATACCCCAAATAATTATACTAGATCTAAATAATCAAAAAAATTATTTCATTCGTTTACAAAAAAATACAGCATAAAAATGACGGTTAAAATTTGAAACATCGTTTGGGCGACGACAGAATTAGCAATGACGAGTCTGTTTCACAAATAAAGTTGTCTGAATCGAGCGAAAGGGACCCACAACGACAAAGACACTTTAGCTTTACAGGAGCCTAAGCCTTACGTTAGATAGATAAATCTGCGTCCTATCTATCTAGTTGTGCGTACTGTGTCGTTTTTTTGTTGTGCTCGAACTCGAACTCGAACTCAGTTTATTCAAAGTCAATATCAACAAAAACGTGCACCCCAATCCAAGTCTTAATTTCTCTTTGATTTTTCAATCACAGATCACAACAATACTCTCACGCACTTACCATGTTTTGACCACTTTTTTCTGTTTTCACTTTTGGTTCTTCCTCTTCCTCTTCCACTTCATCGATCCACACAGATTGGACAGACAGAGCGTCACCAGAAAAAGATACCCTTTTTTTTATTTAGTTTTTTTTTTTTTTTTTTTAACTTTGGAGAATGGAAAAAGGTGACCCATTTATTTATATAACGGTAATTTGGAAATGAGTGGTAGTTAAAAGGCTTGGTTAGAAGGCCCAGATAATTTTTGGAAAGTCAAGTTTTTCAAAATCATTTTCCTGCTGAGGTAAGAAGACCCAGAAGCGTTGTTGAGAGAAAGGTAAGACCCGATTTTTGAGTTCCCATTTCAGAATTTGACTTTAATTTTTTTTGAACTTTCTATATCTGTGCATCCTATGTGTAAATGGGAACGGTCATGCTTATTGTTTCTGATAGCACTTTTAAGTCTTGGAATAGTGAAGTTTGGAGCTTTGTTGTGGATTGTCACTTGGGTGGGGGTTGGTCTTAGAAATTTTAAATTCTGATTCGATCTAAGCTGTGTGTTCTGTAAAATTGTGTTGACCGTCTTTGTTGATGTTATAATTGATGGTTTTTGGTGGTTATCTGTCAAGTTTTTGTAAGGATTTCTGGTGTGTTGTGTGTTGAATTTGTTAGAAAACTGAGGTTCTCATATGGTTTCTGTTGTTAAGATTTGAATGGATGCTTCATTCGTGGAATTACCATTCTGTTGAAAGAAAAAAAAAATAGTGCATTTTGAAATGAACTGCAAAAGAATTTAGCTTTTTAAGTGGTAAGTTATGCATGCCTAAAGAGTGTGAAGAGGTTGTCTTTCCACTGTGATTTTGATGGGAAAAACATAAGCATACCAATGCTTTTTTTTTTCATTGGGTACTGCTACGAAAAGAGCAGAAAATCCACTTTTCTCCTTTATCAAATTCACCCTCCCCAGCCTTCTATAAATGATTGAATTATTCTATAGGAGCTTTAGAAGTAATCAATGTATAGGGGCTATAGCCCTGCTAATTACCAATTACTAATTAATGTTGCTTTCCTTTACTAGTATGCATCAATGCTACGTATTTACCTGAGTAACAGTTAAACTGTACACTATTTATCTAGTTTATGTATGCTGTATTAATGCATAAAGTATGGCAGTTTTTGTTTCTTCCACCAAAATCTCATTTCTCAACTTACATTCAGGACTGGCTGCTAATTGCTGAATCAAGAGATACGAACTAGCAATGGACGAAGTTGCTAATAAAGTTCAAGGTGGCTTTTATGCTGCAGATGCAGCTTTTGGAAAACTCTACTCACTTGAGGGGTTCTCAACTAAAGAAAATGACATGCAAGAATTGGAGATATCCCTGCAAGCTTTAACAGAAATAGACTATCGCTTAGCCTATTCTTCTGAGAAGCTAGTGAACTTGCATGTGCTTTATATTTATCTGTTAGCCCGGGAAAATGATCTTGAAGCAATGGATTCAAAGAATAACAGCAACTTGGCAAACTTATTTGAGAAAGGAATGACATTTGATCTATTGTCTGACATTTTAGGTTCTGAGGTAAGAGAGCTGGACAATTTCATGGACACTCTCCAAGAAGAAATTGTTGATGCTCGTCATAAAATATTTTCATGCAGACACTTGACTGAAGTTTTCTTTATGATGGACAAAAAATTGCATGACTCTGAAGAGTCTGTGAAGGAGTTTCAACAGCAGTTATTGGAGTTGAAGATGCAGTCATCCCAGTTACAGAAAACCCTTGAAGTTTTTCGGCATGAAAATTGTAAGTTGAAATTTTTACTCAATATTTTTTGTTCAAAGTTTTTAAACTGTGGATGCTGTTTTTTTCCAAGGTTTGGATGACTGTTTACCTTTTTTTGTCATCCATGTTAACAGGCGAAATGGGGAAGGCCTTGAATTTATCAGAAAATGGTCAATTGACAGATATGAAAGCAAAATCCAATGACCAGATGGTTGGACAACAAAGGTATATACTACGAATGCTTGAGAGGTCCCTTGCAAGGGAGCTAGATCTTGAAAAGAAGTTAGCAGAATCAAGAAAAAATGAAGAGCTAAAGTTGAAACTCCACTACACAGAACAAGTGGCATTTTATATGGAAGAAGCAGCGGAAGTAGTTTGGGGAAGATTTCTAGAGGCAGACAATGCTGCGGAAGTGTTGATGGGGATTTCTAAAGGTATAATGGGACGCCTCCAAGTTACTGAGTTCAACCTTAATGGTTCTATGCAACGAGAAAATGAGCTGAAATCAAAGGTTCAGAATGTCTTAGAACAACTTAAGGCTAAAGATGCTGCTTTAGATAAGCTTGAGAGATGTAATGTTGAGAATGATAAGCAAAATTCTGAAGTGTTGGCTTTGAGGGAAAAGGTGAAATTTCTTGAAGAAGAACGAAAAGATTTTGAGCATCGGATAAATGATGTGATTGCAGAAAATGAAACATGTCACGAACAACTTATTGAAATGGAAAATTTTGTTGAGTCTCTCAAAGAAAGCATTGACATGGCCGAAAATCGGGCTGAGAGTGCAGAAGCAAAGATTACACAGTTAACTGAGACCAACTTGGAACTTACTGAAGAACTGAATTTTCTTAAAGGGAGTGCTAGTACTGCAGAAAAAAAGGTTGGTTCACTTGAGAAGCAACTAAGGGAATTAGATATCCAACTACAGAATTCAAAGGCAACTTCTGAAGCAAGTCAAGAACAGCAGAACATGTTATACACCGCAATATGGGATATGGAAATATTAATTGAAGAGCTAAAGTCAAAGGTTTCAAAAGCTGAAAGTAAAAAAGAAAGTGCAGAAGAGCAATGTGTTGTGCTATCTGAAACTAACTTTGAACTTAATAAAGAATTGGACCTCCAGAAGTCCAGAACGATTAGCCTGAAAACATCTTTGGATCAAGCTAACAATTCAAAATTATCAAGTGCAAAAGAAATTGATACCAGAACCAAGTTTATCATGGATATGGTAATGCAACTAGCCACCGAAAGGGAGCGCATCAATAAGCAGGTAATGACTTCCATAATTTTCTAACTAAAATTGAATATTCTAGTTTCAATGTTTTTTTTTTTCAAAGAGAAAACCACTATTTTGATGTTCCAAAGATTTGTGTTTACTCAATTGGTCCCCCAGAGATTAATTTTATCAACGGAAACGTTCAATGTTTTAACTTATCTCAGTTTGGTCCTTCTGTGCGTACTTCATGCAATTTTTGTTCTCCTTGACTGTGTAAGCTCGGACCAAATTGAAATGAACTAAAATATCCAAGGCCTCAATTGATGACATTATACTTTGAAGGACCGAAGTGAGAAAAGTGTATATTTTGAGGACCAAAATAGTAGTTTTCTCTCCATTTTTACCTGAAATGGAATACCCAATCCAGATCTATAATGGTTATTTATACTAAAAGAAAGTAGTATTGATAGTGGACTTTACAGCAGCCATTGTTGCTAATCACTATATTTTGCATAATTAAATAAGAAAATTTCGGAGTTGGATACCCACAGTAACATGATAAGTTATCATTGTGTTACGATCCTACTCCAAGGTATGAGACTTATGTTAGGTTAAAAGGACCCTCAAGTTGGATTGTGGAAGTGTGTGCAAGTCACACGTCGAGCACAGAGCTCGTCACTAAGAGTCGGAGGTCGGCCTGAGTCACCAAGTCGGCCTGTGCAACGGAAACAGTAAAAATGCAAGAGGAGAGAGATAGAGAAGAACACAACAAACTATTAACGTGGAAAAACCTTCTCCAATGAAGAAGTATAAATTCACGGGACACTAGTTCATAATCAAACTTCCACTATATAAATAATGGGTTACAAGAGTTAAGCTTCTCTAGTCTTTCACTAGAGGTACAATTAATCTTCACCAAACACTGGTGGTATTCAATCTTCTCTCAAGAGGATACACTCAAACTTCTCTCAAGAGACTGTCACAAAAAATCTCAGCTAACCTAATACAAAGACTTGAATTAGGTTAGCTGAGATTTTTTGTGATAACCTCTTGAGAGAAAATTGAGTGTATCGTAAAAATCTCAGCTTGGAATACCCAATCTAGATCTTGGGGAGAGAGAAAGAAACTCTCCACATTCTTCCAAAATCTTCTACAATGATGGGGTAGTTGGAGTGGTAGTGGTCTTGAGCCCTGCACCCATATTGATGAGGGTGCATGCTGTCATTAATGGAGGAACACCACCCAACAACTTGGAGTCCCACATTGGTTATATGGGTGACTAATGTGAGGTTTATATGGACTTTGGGCTCTCTTACTTCTTGAGCTAGCTTTTGAGGTGAGGTTCGTATCAATTGGTATCAAAGTCTTCCACTATGTCTCTCAGTTGCAATTGAGCGGCTCGAGTTATAACGCTGGAATTGCAGCCTTCACCCAGGACTAGTAAAAGACTAGCGCAAAGTCAACCCGCATGGCCGCGGGGGCTGCGGAGCATGGTGAAATTTACGATCCTACTCCAAGGTATAGGACTTGAGTCCTACATTGGTTATATGGGTAACTAATGTGGGGTTTATATGGACTTTGGACTCTCCTACTTCTTGAGTTAGCTTTTGAAGTGAGGTTCTCTCAAGGTTCGTATCAATTGATATTAGAGCCTTCTACTATGTCTCTCAGTTGCAATCGAGCGGCGCGGGTGGTGACGCTGGCATTGCAGTGTTCGCCCAGGGCTAGTAAAAGACTAGCACTACACTAGCGCAAAGTCAACCTGCGTGGCCGCTGGGGCTGCGGAGCGTTGTGGAATGTTATGATCCTACTCGAAGGTATGGGACTTGGAGTCCCACATTGATTATATGGGTGACTAATATGAGGTTTATATAGACTTTGGGCTCTCCTACTTCTTGAGCTAGTTTTAGGGCGAGATTCTCCCAAGGTTCGTATCAATTTGCTTTTGTATTTTTTTTTCTTAAAGAAAGTTAGATATATATTTCACTGTGACTGATCTATGATACACTAACAGGACTTTAACATTCTTACCACTATTATCTTCCCGCAGCTAGGTGCATTAAAACAGGAAAATAAAAGTTTGGTAGAAAAGTTAAAGGATAGTAAAATCGGTGCCCCACTAGATGCATGTAACAATGGACTAAATAGCAGAAATGAAGATCAAGCTTCCAACATTGACTCAAGCAATGATAGCTGTACAAAATCATCTGATGCAGAAGGAACAAATCACTTCAATAAAACCTTTCAGGCAGGTACTTTTTTTTGTCTCCCTGATCATTTTTACTAGTTGATATGTCATGTGTATATGATGTTGATGGATGAAAGCTGGGTGTTAAATTTAATGTTTCTTATAATGACTTTGCCCATGGGGAAAATGTTTTTATTTATTACATAACTAATGTCTTGACATGCATTTTCATACGTGCCAATTGACTCAATTCACTTTTTTATTTAGAGAATTAAAATGGAAATAAAACAAGTAATAAAACCTCAAATAACTGTCCCACTAATGCTATACTCTTTAGGATATCAACAACACCTTTATCCCAATCTAATTGGGGTCGGTGGTAGATAAACCCAAATGAAAATACGAAGAGATTAAAAAAAGATAATCATAAGGGTTCTTCTCATAAATATAGCTGCTTTTCATGGCCGGTTCGGTACACTTGAAGCCAACCCTCTTCCTTTATCCTAGCTTGGGACAAGCCATGCATGCAAGCACACATAGGCGGAGTTCTATACTCTTTAGGATATGCTTTGCATTTTTGGGGTGACCAAAACCATAGCCAAATTTTTGTGTATCATGGTTTCTTCATAATTTTCAGAATTAACTGAAGCTTAACTTGCAAAATGTTATCTATGTGATTATAAAAGAAAATGTGATACTTAATGTATCAATATTTCACTGCACTTTCTCATTCTAATCCCTAGTTTGCGCAATGCACTCTAGATGGCACATATCTGGAAGACATGATTATTTACAACTATACTGGTGAGATATAAGTGATCTTTGATCCGTTCAGGGCTCCTCTACTAGTACATTTTTCCATTGGCAAGTCCCGTGCATATTGGAATCTCTTGGTACCCAATTATGAAACTTAATGGTCAATAATAAAAGGAATATTCTTTCGTATCTGTGATGAGAATCTAGAAAAAAATGCACAATATATGCATATCTCTTTAGAGTAAAGTTCGCCCATTTTGTGGAATATGGTAATCATTCATAATATGCAAGCTGTATATTTATCAAATAAAAAACAAAAATATGTGGCACCGGTACCATACTGTAATAGTCTTATTGCATGCTATGGTACATGTTATACATAGGTGTATGATATAACCTTAATTAATCTAAATTATTTGCTAAAACCTGGTTTATCACCCACTGATAGGATTGATGAATACATATAAACTGTCTCTAGGTTTCTTTAGTTTTCAGTAAATTCTTTTTTTAAAAAGAACTTGGAAAGATAAATAAACAACTCAATGAAGAAAACCTAAGGCTCTGATCTTCCTGCCTGTCATTTTAGATATTTTGTCCCCCATTAATTGTTTCATTTTATTCAATAACTTGCTTTACTATTATTAAGCCTATAAATGTTTGTATTAAAAACGGACTTCACCTTTTTCTTTTCATTAATCTTTCCTTTATCTGCCTAATGTTATTACCCGCTCTGCATTATGGCTATTAAGTAGTGACCTTGCTAACCTACTAGAGCTTATTTTCAGTTCTCTTCCCAAACCATTTTCTGCCTTCCATGCTACATAGTCAGAACATAAACACAAGAATAGTTATCTTTTTTAGAATTTGAAAGTATTTCTGAAATGCTAAAATTCTTATTCTAATTGCTTGTGTATTCATTAAAATAATGGTGCTTAACATGAATTAATAACCTGTTGGTTTCTTTCAATCATATACTTTCTACCGTTATTCTAATGGCCTACCCTGGATGGGTTTTACTATATTGCTGTGGAGACATTACAAATTAGATAATTTAATTTGTCACTCTGGCAAATAAAAATATTAGGCCTTGCATTGATAAAATATAAGACTAATTTGGAGGTCCATACTTTATTTAATGATATTTTTGCTTAGATCCTAAAAGGTTCCCCCTTTCTTGATTTCTATTATTAGGTGGGTGAACCATCAGAAGATGCAAGCCCTGAAACTCAAGTAACATCATCTGTTTCAGCAAATAAGCCTGCAAATTGGAGAAACTTGATATTTCTTTTAGTGGCAATTTTTGTCCCATTGGTTTCTGCGTTAGCCTTCACCTTGTTTGACAAAAAGACGTTTTCCTTTCTGAAAGCTTTTGAAGGCTAAGAGTTATCACCTAGCAGATAGAAAATTTGTTGTTTGTGCAGTTGTGCTTCCCTCCAAGTCCTTCTTTAGCTTCTGTACTGTATATTATTCATGTATTTATGTCATCCTAGAGTGGGTGTAAGCTGATATTACTCTTAAACTGTATATGATTCTATCATGAGTTCTTAACAGATCAAGAGATTGTGTTTAATAAAGGTGCAAATTATGCTTGAGAGGTAGAATAATCATGGAAAGGTACATTGCCTTTGTGTTTGGAGGTGCTACTATTTGCGGTTTTTGTGTTGAGTTTGACTTTGATAAAATTTAACCAGGCTTTACTTATGTATTTTTTTAAGAGTAAATATCATTTTTGGTCCTCAGCAAATTTCACGATGCTCGCTTTAGTCCCTAGCAGATAAAAAGATTATTCGTGGTTCCTAAGAAATTTAAAATGGATTCATTTAGTTGAAATCGTGGTCTCTCAATTCAAAAAAAATCTACATTAGTCCCTCAAAAGGACTATAATGGGTCCACTTTGAATTTCTTAGCGACCACGAATAGTTTTTTTATTTGCTAGGGACTAAAGCGGGCATGTAAAATTTGCTGAGGATCGAAAATGATATATATATATATATATATATTTTTTAAATTAAAAGTTGTCTAACTTTTGAAGAGTGTAATGTTGGATCTTGTGATATCACCAAACCACCATCACGTAGAAATGAGAATATTATATAAAAATCAAATTAGAGGCATGTGAGATGAAATTATGAAAGAAAATGTGTCACAATAAAAGAAATTGATTCATTTTTTTTTTTCTTTCTTTCTCATAGACTATTAATGTAGTAACTATAACACGTCCTTGTCAATTTACCACAAGATAATACTAGTGCATAGCTGCAATTAATCTAAAATATATTTTTTTAATGAAAAAAGAAAACATGAAAAAAACTAAACAAAAACAAAAACTATTAAGAAAATATACTAATGTGTCAGTTGCAGCAGGCTGTGAAAAATAACACAAGAATTATACCTTTCAACACAGGAAGTATTTCACTTAGCACCCAACTTACCAAAATTTTTAATTTATATGCAAGATTGAATAATTACAAAATTAATTCTGAGGACATTTATTACCATGAAATCCTTTCAAATAACCTATTAGCACAGATAATCACAAATCAAAATGAAGTAGGAATTCTGGGTAATTTTCATGGGAGCCCAATAACCTCAAAGTAATCCCAAGCCCAATAACAGGGAAGTTTGCAGCTAATTGCTTGTTTGGTCCAAAAATTTAATTTAATTTTAAAGTAAATCTTATCCCATCTTTAAAGTAAATTTTATTTTCAATCTAATTAAACCATAAAATACTAAACAATTAGAGCCTCCGTTAAAATTTGTAAACATTGTTTGAACTTTGAAGTATTTGTGTCTCCTTCTCAAATAATAAAATTTTATTACTTAATGAAAAAAAATTTCCAAGACTAAAATGATGTTGGTAATAAAAAGCGTATTAATAAAGGGTTATATTTATCTCATTCAACATGAGATAATTTTTTTTTTCTATATACACATAATAAAAGTAGGTTTCATCTCTATTTTTTTTTCTCTTTAATCGTTTGTGATCCCATTTATAATTTTATTTTACTAACATAAAATAACTCATGTCCAATAAGATAAGAAAAAGATTTTGCATTAGCAAATGATTATGATTAAAAACAGTGCTTTGTTTGACCTAAAAACAAAAATAAACAATAAACAATAAACAATAAAACCCTAATACCGTGAACCTCTCGTATATAAGATGAAGCTGCTAACTTTGCAAATGAAGCCAATGAACAAACGTGTAGCCGCCTCTCTACTTGTTCTTTTGTTTTCTTTTCTTTTCTTTGATTCGATCCCAGAAATGATTGCAAACATAATGCACCGTGTAGCCCCTTGCATCTTCGAGTTTAGTTGCAAGGAAAACACGAGATAAGGTTGTCGGGGTGCAAAATTTAATGATGGCAATCAAAGTTTATGCTTTTGGGCGCAGATTCCAGGTTTTTTGTTGCCCAATTTGCTTTTTATTTTAAGGTTGCCAAATGATCTCAATGGATTTGTTGTATAGCACTGTCTATGCAGTTTAATGATTTATACCCTTCAGTGAGCAAAGCAAAATGATGAAGTCTTTTGTATGTCTGAAATTGATGTGGATCTCGTATTTCATACAGGTCTTCAAAGTTCTCTGATTGCTTTGTCATGTGTTGTTTTAATTAAGTTGTTTGGTTCAATAGGTCCTTTACTTTGTTTGTCCCTTTTATTCTTTGGTATTGTTTTGATGATGGGGTTTCAAGTTTTGTTCTTCTTGTTATATGGTTAGCTTTTGTACTGTTTGCTGCAACTTTTTTGCTTTGGTACACACTGACATGGGGCTGTAGAGGGTTGTTGTATATTATACGTTTTTTTTTTCTTACGGCCTGTAGTTGGATGCTTGATATCTATTGGGGATAATGATAGTTTGGTTAGTGCTCTTATTTTCTGTAAAGTTTTTATTTTTTTTGCTCATTTAGATTTTACTCGTGCTGCTGCAAATTCTGGTTTTGTTTCAGCTAGTTTTCCTTTAGAAATAGATGAGGAGAAAAAGAAAGTAAAAGAATATTGAACCCTGGGTTTTTTTAGAAAGCAGAGCAAAGTGATGAGGTTTTAATATCTGAATGTCATGTGGATTTCTTATTCAAATAGCCTTCAAAGTTCTCTGATTGCTTTGCTGGTGTTGCTATTAGGTATTGTCTCATCTACTCATTTTAACTGATGTTTTATTTCACACTATGTTAGGAAGGGAAATTGAATTCTAATGAGAGTAATCAGTGATGTATCACCAATCTTTCAATTCCCCATCTCTTCTTTTAAATTAAAAACTTCTAAACATGGGCAGGAGAGCACTTTCTCACCCTTTGTCTCCCTTCCCACTCTTCACCCTTCTCCCAAAAAAGACAGTACAATTTACACAAGCCAAGTTTTTTCTTATTACTTTAATGAACAGCTTCCGCCTCTTCGAAAATCAAATATTTATCATTAGATGTTCAACTAATGAAAGTTACATTTGCACCCTCCCCCTGATAAATTGGTTACGATTGAGTTAGGTTAGTGGCACAACTTTACATTCACAACAAACTGAACAAAGATCAAGTTGGTGGTTGAGATTCTTAGGGGAAGATCGAGTAAAGTAGTCTGATCTTACTGCCGAAGGAATAAGCAGCTAATTGAATATAAGCACCAAAATTCTTAATCTGATGTACATTAATGTATCAGATTATACGAGCATGGTGCAACATTAATTTATGCTTCCCCTTGTTTCTCCTTTCTTTGTTTGTCTTCGTAAATGACAAGTGAAGCAGAAACGGGGCAGGACATATAGGGTTGCAATTCTCCCTTCTAATTGGCATTAAACATTCTCTAAATTTGTGTCATCAACATCGCTAGGATGTAAGAATTTAGCTCTTATAAATTAAGGAGGCGCTTTCAACTTTTTAATCAATGGTTATAAATGTAGATTTTATCTTTTAAAGGATAATTTTCATTTTAGAGTAACTACATTCAAGAAGTTGCATAGGTAAATCGTGATCAGGGAAATGGCTTCATTTTGTTAATTTATGTTTTACATCGGTAAAAACAACAACTGAGATGGGATGAACATAAGCAACATGAATGTTGTGACATAGACACAAACAACTTAGTTGGAATATAAGACACAGATGAAAAAGACACGACCGAAGATAAAGGCACTGCCAAAAAAGAGAAGGAAATGGCTGGAGGGGAAGAGATGCCTAAATACGATAGCCCTCCAAGATGGAGGGGAAGAGATGCCAAAATACGACAGCGTGCCAAGATCAAAGAAGCTTTGGTGGAGATGCCAAACACTAGACGGTTGCCAGACGTAGAAGAAGTCTCGGCGAAGGTGGCATTGAAAAAAATTGAAGAGAAAGGTAGATATGAGAGACATGAGAAGAAAGGAAGAGAGGAGAGAAAAAATAGAAACAGAGAGAAGAAAAAATGACGGCACTGAAAATTTCTCATGAAAGGTGATATCGCTCTAATACCATGATAGAATTATAGAAAAGAGAATTAAGAGAAAAGATTGTTGTCAATTGTTAATTGATTTGTACATAATTGGAGCTATTAGAAGAGCAAAAGAGGAAATAGAATATTCTAATATACCAAATATTTCAAAATAATATTTCTGTTTTTATTATTTCTAGAATAGAAATATTATTTTTAGAATAATATTTCTATTTCTAGAATAATATTTCTATTTCTAATTATCCCAAAATATTTGTAGAATAGAAATATTAATTTGGGATATTTTGGTATATTGTGATATTATAGAATTTTCTATTTTCTTTTTTGCTCTTCTATATAAGAGCTCCAATTATGTACAAATCAATTACCAATTAATGACATCAAAAATTTTCCTTATTGTTTTCCATAATTCTAATATGGTATTAGAGCGATATCATTTTCCATTAGGGATTTTTGTTGTCGTCATTTTTTTCTTTTATATGTTTCTATTTTCTTCCCCGTTTGTGTCTTTTCTCTCATATCTACCTTTCTCTTCATTTTTTTGGTGCCTCCTGACTTCGTCTACTTCCGACAATTATCTAGTGTTTGCCTCTTCCTCAATATTGTCCAGATTGTCGTCTTGTTCGTATGTGTCGTCTTCTCTGCCCAAGCTTCTTTCGTCTTGGCTCGCGGTCCTATTCTAACACTAGATCAGGCTTCTCCGTTCGAGATCTCTTAGACTTGTTTTGTTTTTTTGGCATCTCTTTCCCTCCGGCCATTTTCTTCTCTTTCTCAATCATATCTTTATCTCTGACTGCATATTTTTCGGTTGTGTCATATCTTCTTTGGTCGCGTCTCTTTTTTCTCTCTCTTTTTTCTCCTTTCCAGATCTAATTTTGTTTGCGTTTTTAGTTTTAAGATCTATGTTGGCTATTGTCGCTGTCATCATGGCTTGTATTCGTTTGTTCTCGCCACCATTTGTTGTGTGGTCTCTGTTTCTGACCACCATTGAAGCTCATTCAAGTTTTACTCTTTTTTTTTTAGATATTCCAATTGGTTTATCGTTTCACAACTAGTCCGATTCAGGGAGGGTCCATTGATTAAGGCTTTAAATCCCTCCCTAAGATGATATTGGGGAAGATCGAACACATGCTTTCATCCCCACCTGCTTAATTCTCTTGCGGTAACTGAGCTATCATCATTTGATATTCAAGCTTTCCTTTGGTTTGTCGTCTGGGACATTTTCAGCACAGGCTTCTTGAGTTATTTTTTATTTGTATTTGTTGTTGGCTTGTATTCTGGTTATTTTTATCTTGTTTCCATTTATTTTTGGTATGGTTTATATTTGCTATTGTTTGTCTCTCCTTTGGTTTCCCATTCAGGAGGAGCATTGTTCATGTTACTGATGTTCATTCCAGCTCAATTGTTTTTGTCGATGTCTATCCCAACACCATTCATGTTGCTTATGTTCTTTCTAGCTCAGTTGTTTTTGTCGATGTCCATCCGGGCATCATTTATATTGCTTATGTTCATTCCAGCTCAGTTGATTTTACCAATGTCCATTACGGCACCGTTTCTTTTTGTCAATGTCCATTTCGGCGCCATTCTAGCACTCTCATTTTAGGAGAAGATTTTTTTTTTATTATTATTATATTTCTTAGTCTTTCTTGTTCAAGATGGGATTTCACCTTGTTCACTCTCCATTTTGAGGGAGAGTATTGAGAATAGAAATATTATTTTTGTATGTTGTGTTATTCTTATATTTATATTTCCTCTTTTCTATATAAGAACTCCAATTATGTACGAATCAATTACCAATATATGACATCACTCTTTTCCTTTATTTCTCTTTTTCATAATTCTAATAGATTCCTCCTACTTTGATATTTAAAACTTCAAGTAATTTGTGACTAAGTCCTTAATTTTGTCTTTTTCTTTTATGTATTTAATCATTTGAACTACTAATAAAATTTGTTTTTAATTAGAAACAAAAAATAATCGTTTGAAGCAGTGGTGATAAACCTGGACCAATCCGGTTTGGTCGACCCGGGAACATGTAAACTGATAATATAACTGGTCCGGGTGAAGTAGAGGATTGGTCAAGCATTGGAATCGGTGCGAATCGATGCAACCTGACCGATTTTGGTGAAAATCGATGACCCGATAGGTTCAACCAGTGACCCGACTCGGTTCATAAAAATTTTTTATAAAGGATATTTTTTTTAAAATTCACAAATGGTTTGTTTTCTTTTCAAATATTTAAGTGATTTGTTGCTTACTGACTTACATAGCTTATGCACTTACAATACTAATATTATCTTGGTTACACACTATGCAAGTATTTTTTATTTAATTTATAGCTAGAGATGTCGTCTAATGGCCCTAAACCACCCGTGTCATAAGCATTATATGTTTGTTAGATTTTTTGTTGGATAATGATGTGTGATTTATTTTTTCATATTAAAATATCTAGAATTTGTATTACTTTTTATGGGTATTTAAGTATGTTTACAGTTTTTTTAATATAGATTATAGATTTGCATATATTTATCGAGTCATGCGGTTAAATCAGTAACCTACTAGTTGAACCAATGACCCAGTACCTTGATCGAGTCAATGACCGAGACAAATTTAATAACATTGGTTTGAAGCATTGGATAATTATTCTGTATTTTACTTGTCAACTAAACCTCATTCTCAATACTCACTTTTTAAGACTTTATAGACTTTTTTTGAAGTTACATAATTATGCAAGTTCAAAACATAAGCTATAGTTATTGTAGTAGGAATTAAGTACTTGTATTCAATTTTTTCATAAAGGACATTTGGTAGAGAGAAATTTTTTTTATGTCTAGAAATCACGATTACCAGAAATATATTTGAAAGGTGAATTTTTGAGGAATGTGAGAAAAAAAATTTAGAAGGGGGAAAATATTATAAAAAATGCTAGGAAAATGAATTATCTCAATTGCACTGCTGGCGTTAGTGGCGCCATCATCGCGCCACAAGCGCGGGAAGAAGAAAGCAACAAATTGGACTTGGCGTCGGCCTCCGCACCACTGCACCACTAGCGTGGGAAGAAGAAGGCAAGAATATGGCCTTAGCACTAGTGGCGCTATGAGAGGTCAAAAACGCATGGTATTTTTGGATGATATTTTAGCTTAAAAATTGTTTAGAAATCAAAATCCTGAAAAATCAGATTTTCGAAAAAAAATTCACAATTCTTGTACCAAACATGAGTAAATAAAATTACCAATCTTAATTTTTTCAAGAATCCAAAATTTTTCCTTATATCAAACTCTCACCTAATTCTTCAAGACGATGAAGGAGAACTATCATGTGTATGCCATCAATATTAAAAATTGAATATATATAAATGAGGGCAGTACATAATGCATGTATTAGACCTTCTACTAATTAATATGCATATCAGCATATATTTCGATGAACCCTTATGATTGAGTGCTCTTTCTTTTCTTTTTATAGATGATTGTGCGCTCTTTAGTGCATCTGACATAACATTAATTTGTAAAATTAGCGAAGATTGGTGGCGTCTTAAGAGATAGTAAATTTTGCTTTTCACGTTTTTAATTTAAAATTAATAACATTTTCATCAAAAATATAAAAGAAAAATTGATTGAAGAGGAATATGTCTAATCAAATGGATTTCTTTGATTTATTTAACAAATAATTAATGTAACCTCT